CCATACCAATGGGCTCTACCCGTTTCCCATCGAACCCCAGCAGTGGATTTTCGGTAGGTTTGAGCTTTTCTAGCTTGATCTCGAGCCGGTCAAATGTTATTCTTGGCATGACATTCGTACTGCTCCCTGGAACAATCAGAACTCTTCGCACCAAGCACTCTGCCACTATCAAACTGACGACCAGAGGATCTTCATAAGGGATCTGTACATGCATCAAATCTGTTCTGGTGAACTTTATCTGAACTGATGTACTCTGCTGGTGCAGAGAGTTTACGCTGCCTATCATTCTCTTCATCCGCGCTTGTCGGAGGCGCATTCGAAGTAGTTCTTCTGACTCCTCGGTCGGTTCAGGTCGGCCGTGAATTGTATTTATTATCCGAACAGGCTGAGCGTTATGGTAGCTCGGCTTTTGATTTCTCTTCACTTGCTCTGCTGGTCAGGTCTGCTCCACTGCCGGTCCTTGAATATATCCTGCAAACTCTCCTCTTGCTATCAGCATTTCCACTTGCCTCCTTAAGTTCCTGCATTCATTAGTCTGATGACCAAAATCACTATGGAAAGCACAATGTTTAGACTTATCTCTCTGTTCGAGAGGTTATCTAATTGGTAGGGGAGAGTGAAACTTATCTTTGTTCTCCTAATATAACCTTGCCAGAGTGACTTTGAGTAGAGTAACCGACTCTTCCTCTCTAGGCCTCTTCTCTACTTTCTAGGTGGTCTGACGTTGTGGCAGAGCTTGTTTATGCCGGATCTTGGTTTTGGACTTCTCCTCCGTAGAGATTATTGATGTATTCTTTACATTAGCTGTCTCTTTTTCTTCCAAGCGCAAGAAACCATCAGCTCTTTCGTTCAGCTCGTCCGTGGTCTTCGGCATATTTACCACCAGACTTGTGTGGAACGGTGTCCCTCGGTTCATTGCTAATTTGAATGCTTGAACCACCATGGATAGATGACATTCTATTACCATGCTCTTGATGAGGTTGAACCTGGTGAGATATCTTTGGCCGGGCGTTTGTTCCCATAATACTGGCTTATGAATTTGTCACACAAGTCTTAGAAGCAAGCGATTAAGCCTTTTGCCAAATTCTTGAACCAATTGAGCGCTGGCCCGGTTAAACTTGTAGGAAAGCACTTGCACATCAAAGGATCATTCTCCGTGTTCAGAGCCATTTTCAACTGAATGTGGTAAACGTGATTGATTGGATCACTCGTTCCATCAAACAAAATTAAAACTGGCATGGAAAACTTCCTCGGATTTGGAGCGTTCAGGATCTCGTCAGTAAACGATGAATCAACCGTTCATGTTGACGAACGGAGGGCCTCATTCTCCCTCGGAAACCTTGGGAGAATCCTCTAATCTACATATTCCTATCTGAACTTCTGGAACCGTATGTTATCATTGAAGGCCGGTATGGCGGATCGAACGATCTTTCCTCCGCGAACTCCCTCTGCCACGGTAACGTAGCCTTATGGTGACCAAACTCCATGGCTTCCTCTCGCCTCAGCCTTTCTTGATATGGATCGAATGCCATGGCTTCCTCTCACCTGATCCGCTCACAATGCGGATCCAAATGAATAGATCCTTCTCGATCCTCTACGTGACGAACATTTGGCTATAAATCGCCTGGCCTGATCTCTTCGCGGTGAAGATCCACGTAATTGTTCCCTTCCTGCTCGCCTTGGTGAGCAACATCGGGCTGCATAACTCTCTCTCTTACTGGAGGTGGTCTTGACATCGCCAGAGCTTCCCGATCTCCATTCCATCTCGTAATTCTGCATTCTCTCTTCTCAGAGCTTCAATCATACTCATCAACTCATCAAGCTTCGTCTGCTGGCCATTCTCCTATGGATTAGAACTCTCGCCTCCTATCATCGTTCCTGATCGGAGTAGAGTCATCAACCGTGAATTCCTGATCGGATCTGACCTCTACTAATGCGAACGCACTAGATCTGGCCTTAAATTAGCTGAATTCTAATCTCTTTCCACTAGATCTGATCTACAATCTGTTGATTTTATTCTTGCCGTGAACTCGTCAGATCTAATCTCGGTAAACAGATCGAGATTTTTCAGATCCAACTCCAATCTCTAATGATCAACTAGAACCAGGTCTCTGCAAGACAAATCATGATCTTACCGATCTGAATCCAACTTTCAGAGATCAAGCTTCGCCTTCACGAATCAGTCTTGATCGGATCAATCTTCATCTTTTCCCACGGACGGCGCCATTGAAGATGCAAGAAATTTTCACTCTCAATTTAGAAAGAGTAATTCTACATTTCAAAAAAATTTCGATCCCTTTTCCCTTTTTTTTTCCGTCTATTTATAGACGGTTACAACCATTCTTGAAGCTCTCTAACTAATTTTCTTATGATGGGTTGGCCTTGTCAGTTTACCTTCATTTTGGGCCATTTCCTTTTGTCTTAATTCGGGCTTCCGAACTGATCCTTCGGTCTAACGCTTGCTCAGTGAAGACTTATTTCATTTTAGTTGTTCTTACCTGACCCGTTCCTAGCAACCTGGGTCATACTCGGCCCAGTTCATTTTCAGTATCCTCAACCATTCTATTAGAATAAAAATCCATTTTCACAACTAAACCTATGTAATGACCAACTAATTTTTTTAAAAAAAAATCAACTTCTCAAAAAACCTTCATGTTCCAAGTCCAAAAACCACCACTACCTTCCACCACAATCACATCCGCCTTTCACCACCACTACCATCACTTTCCACCACCACCATCGCCACTAACTTTCACTATCGCACACCGCTTTCCACCACCACCACCGACACCTCCTTTCTCCACTGACACCGCCTTCCTTTGCCATAACCACCACCACCGTTATTACGTTTCAACACTACCACCACCTTCTACCATCAATGCCTTTCACCACCACCGCCGCCGCCTTTCACCATAGCCTCCACCTTCAACCACCACTCCCATCACTATTGTCTTTCACCACCATTATCACATTCCACCACCGCCGCAACCGCCTTCCACCACCACAACTGCTGCCGCTGCCGCCACCTTCCACCACCACCGCCGCCGCCACCATTGCTATCTCCTTCCACCACCACCACTACCGCCACCTCCTTCCACCACCACCTCCTTCCACCACCGCCACCTACACCACCTTCCACCATCGCCACCACCGTCGCCATCGACACCACCTTCCACCACCGTCGCCACCACCATTGCCACCACCTTCCATCACCGCCGCCGACACCACCTTCCGCCCCGCTACCGCCTTCCACCACTGCTACCACCTTCCACTTCCGCCACCTCCGGATCCACTGCTTTCCACTACAGCCACCTACACCACTATCTTCTTCGACAACAACCACCACACTACTGCCACCTCCTTCCCCCAACGCCACTGTTGCCTTCCACCACCACCGCCACCACCTTCCACCATTGCCACCGCCGCTACCTTCCAACACCACCACTTACACCACTACCGCTTTCCACCTACACCACCGCCATCATTTATTTTTAAAAAATTATTAGAGAATGCCATTTTATTAATTTAATTTATTTGTTACTAAGAGGGATATTTTGAAAAATTCAATTTGAAATTTATTCCATTCTAAATTTTAAATTGGTCCAACCAAATAGTAGAATGGTCATTCCATTCCATTCCCACTTACATTACATTCTATTTCTGCGCACCAAACAGATCACTAAAAATTATTCGAGTTTGGAACTGTATCCATTGATAAATATGAGTGGTGTTAATCTTACCTTGCTCCTAGTCTCTCTCGCTCTCGTGAAAATTATTAGCCTCTCGTGAAAATAATTGAGCCCACACAATCTAAGGTTTACTCTGCACCATTTCACCTAAGTTCATTGCCCTTGAAAATAGTGATTTTTATGGTCATCTTAGTGTGAATTATATCATGGTGGTATAGACTGAGCATAGTTCTTTATCCGCAATCTAGCTTTAATGTCTTTAATTACTATTTTTTGTTGGATATGTTAGATATCTGTTTTTCCCTTCTTCAGTTTGATCTATTTCTATTAGTTTTTGTTATGTTTTCTTCCCTCCCAGGCAGCCAAGTGGCATCCGAGATTGATGCCTAGCGCATGACATTCCTGAAATGGCCCTTTTAATTTCTTACTGTAGGAGCTGATTCCTATCTTTCAACACAAAACAAATTGGTAAAAAGACCACAGTGACAAGATAACATACGACGAGGTGGTGAAAGTGAGAACCATCTAAACGGCAGTGCAGCAAAAATTGGTGCAGTAAACAGCACTAATTCTCAACACAAACAGTCCCAAAAAAACCAAAAACCAATAAGAACACCCAATAACAGCAAGGTTCTGAAACAATGATCCAGCTAAATTGATGATCTCAAGGATTAACATCGCAAAAAGTAGCAAAAAATTCACTATCATAGTCTCTGTATTCAATTTTGTTTAGAATGAAAAGTAGGAATAATAACTATTTGGGTAAGTAAAACCAATTAATAGATGCACACCCTAGCATTCATGTATATTCTTGTAGGATATTGGATTAAATCTTAAAGATCCGCTCTTCCTGGGTATCCGGGGAAGGGAATAACATCTCTAATATTGTCGAGCACAGTAGCAAAAAGTAACATCCTTTCAAAGCCTAAACCAAACCCACTATGCTTTACAGTCCCATAACGCCACAGGTCAAGGTACCACTCATAAGGCTCAAGGAGAAAACCCATCTCTAATATCCTGCAACGAAGAAAAGCATCCTCATCAATATTCCTCGCCGGTTCACTAGCAATTGCAATCATGGGAACTCCAATAATAAATTAGCATAAGAACCAAATACAACAACTGAATTTCCAAATAAATAAAAAAATATATACTTTTTTCTTAATATTACAAGTAAATCAGGGACGAGCACAAGAAGTTTTCATACCTTTCTTTAATGACCTCATAACGTTCTTCCCTTTGGCTTCCTCCAATTAATTCTCCCACTGAGGAAGACACTTGATAGTCATAAACACGATATCGCATTGTGTGTTAATACATCATCTGAAGGTTTTTTTCCAATTGTCATGAATTATGATACAGATTCTAGAACAGCTTTGTATCAAATGAAATACGTGGGCAGTAAGCAACTAAACATTGGACGTGTAAATTGAGTAAAATGAAGCTACCTTCGGTACAAGCACATCCATAGCAGCAACAGTCTTGTTGTCTGAATTGAATGCTTTAATACCTTTTGGGTAATTATACACAATAATAGGTGATCTATATTTCACTTCAGTCAAATCCTACATGATTATGCAAACAATGACATCAGTAAATGCATGTGAATCAAGAAACAGTAAATGCATGTGAGTCAAGAAACACAACCAAGATGCAAAGCCCTTAGAATCAAGAAACACAACCAAGATGCAAAGCCCAAATACCTACATGATTATGCAAACAATGACATCAGTAAATGCATGTGAATCAAGAAACAGTAAATGCATGTGAATCAAGAAACACAACCAAGATGATTATGCAAACAATGACATCAGTAAATGCATGTGAATCAAGAAACAGTAAATGCATGTGAATCAAGAAACACAACCAAGATGCAAAGCCCTTGCTTTGCATCTTGGTTGTGTTTCTTGATTCTAAGGGCTTTGCATCTTGGTTGTGTTTCTTGATTCACATGCATTTACTAATGTCATTGTCTACATAATCATGTAGGTATTTGACTGAAGTGAAATATAAATCACCTATTATTGTGTACAATTACCCAAAAGGTATTAAAGCATTCTATATGAAGGTCAATTCAGACAACAAGACTGTTGCTGCTATGGATGTGCTCCATTCCACTTTGTTTCTCAAACTGCCTCTTTTTTGCTGGCTCCTCAAGAATGGCCACTGCTTCTGTGTAAGAGATGCGGACGAGGTCACTAGAAGCAACCATTCTTAACCGTTCGATGGCAACTTTATCGAAATTCTTGGCCATAAATTCCATATCATCAAGGCAATTGTCAAGTAAATGCCTCCCTAAACATTCAATTTTGTTTAAAATGAGAAGTAGGAATAATAACTATTCGGATAAATAGATGCACACCCTAGCATTCACGTATATTCTCGTACGATATTGGATTAAATCTTAAGGATCCACTATTCCTGGGTATTTGGGGAAGGGAATAACATCTCTAATATTGTCGAGCCCAGTAGCAAAAAGAATCATCCTTTCAAAGCCTAAACCAAACCCACTATGTTTTACTATCCCATAGCGCCGCAGGTCAAGGTACCACTCATAAGGCTCAGACCCATCTCTAATATCCTGCAACGAAGAAAAGCATCCTCATCAAAATTCCTCGCCGGTTCACTAGCAATTGCAATCACGGGAACTCCAATAATAAATTAGCATAAGAACCACATACAACAGCTGAATTTCCAAATAAATAAATAAAAACGTATGCTTTTTTTCTTAATATTATAAGTGAATCAGAGACGAGCACAATAAGTTTTCATACCTTTCTTTAATGATCATTATCCTACCCTTTATCCCATATACATGGAATATGCCATATCTCTCTTATTTCATTCTTTACTATTGAAATCTGTTTCTCCCATTATATTTAATTTTCCAATCAAGTCTAATTATTCTATCCCATATTGGTTAGCCCAATTTTTCTTTTATCTGACTTGAAACTAATCTTCTATTTCTGAAGTCTTAACAGCATCCGCGGGTCTAAATTATACATGTCTAGACAACCTAAGTCAGCCTTCCTTTTATTGTATTAGCAACAAGTGTCACTCTTGATTTATGTCACGCGTTAATTATTAACCATGTTACTTCTAATTATTCGTATCATACACCAAAGCATTCTTATTTCAGCTACAAAAATGTGTTTCATGCTTCTCATCTAGCTAAGCATTCTTATTTCAGCTACACAAATGCATTTCATACTTCTCTTTTATTAACTGATAAGCCTGCTCCCTTAGTTGGCAACTTCATCTTTAATATAATTGGACACCAACTGATCTGATTATACACCCGCTCACTCGTTATCATTAGGGGTGCACAAAAAATCGGTAGAACAGGTGAATATATCTGAACCGAACCAGACTGTATGGTTCATGTTGGGGCACAACGGAAGTATAAAGTTACAAACATATATATATATATATATATATATATATATAGTATCATATTAGATTAGTAACATCAAGGCAAAAAAAACATACCTCTTTTCTTTTTCCCAACTCCACCCATTCCAATCAACTCTCTTATTTTAGTAAAAAGACCTGTATTATTAGGACAAAAGAGAAAAAGTTTTAAAAGCGTTAATAAACTTGTAAAACATATATTTTGAAATTGAAAACTAAACTTCCAAGTCTTTAATTCCTATTAATAAATTGTTCCAGCATCACATCATAACAATATTATATATATGTATGTAGAAACAAAAACAAAAACAAAAACAAAAAATCAGTATGTAAAACATGAATAAATAAACATAACCAATAGGTAAAAATGCCAATTAAAATTTTAGAAAAAGTAAAAGTTTGTTACCTGATGACTGAGGCGGTATGTTTCTTGAACCTTGTTCTTGCTAAATGTTAAGGCTCGATGCTAACCCTAAAAAGAAAACACCCAAGTTGTGAGGAAGAGGTTTCACAATCTCACTCATAACAATTAAAACACCACCATCTAAGTACTATCTGTATCATGTATCAACCCAACCCAACCCAACTATGCTTTTAATCAAAATGTTGGACACCTATCCATAGAAACAGGTGTGATTACGGATAGGTGTGATTAGCACATAATATACTCAACTCTTATGTTAAATTAATCCAATAACAAAGTACAATGCATCAGTTTAGGAATAATCTTCAAAATTAACAAATCAATATCCTGATATTCTGCATTCTAATAACAAAAGAAAATCAAAAATCAAAATTTGAAAATAAAAATATGGCAGAAAGATTGAATACATCCTTCGTGCATAACACAGATTGTATTTCTATGTGAAACAAAACATCCAGGATTTCTCAATGGGGTGGGCTAAATCAAAATATATCAACCAAAATCAACTGTTGTTTAATTCAATTTTAGTTAACTAACAATATTTCTTTAGACAGTTGACTGATTAAGGCATAGAAATCCTATTTGGGTAATTAATAAAAAAAAATTACCAATTTACTTTTGAACAATTCACAACTCAGTAGTACCCTATCTCTTCTTTTGACCAATTCACTAATCCTATTTGAGAATCTACTAGTGGAAGCAGAGTGTGAGGTAGTTCATGGCAAGCCCCTTCCAACACTATGGAATTTACTCAAAAGCATGCTTTTTGTAAGTATTTTAATTTTCAAGAAGTAACTCTTTAGAGCTTTACCCTATATTAAGTACTTTTGCTTGTCAAAGTTCTTGATTTTTTTTTTTTTAGTTCTGAATAGATTTCCATCTTAAAAAAGCTTGGCATGTTGATAAAAATTGTTTCAGATTCAATCTCTGAAGATTTCTAATCCAATTCAGATTCTTTTTTTTTTTTTTTTTTTTTTTCATGCCCAGATTCAAATTTTCTTGTAGACATAATTGACAAAAAAAAAAAAAAACATAGAAGTTATAGAAATATATATATATATATATATATATATATATATATTTGTTTTGCTGAAATAAAATGTAGATTACGGTGATTTCCTCAAAATGCAATGCAATGATTACAACAAAATACAATGCAAATTTTGTTACTTTATGTTGTAAAAAATAAAATAAAAATTATTTTTAAAAGATCATACAAAATTTCACCAAATAGGATTTAGTTTGCAAAACAAGAATTACAGACCTTGATTAGTTGATTTAGAAAAAAAATTAAAACAAAACCCATACATACAAGTTAGCAGTTGCAGAGAGAGAGGGGGGCAAGCTTGAGAGTTAAGAGACAGCGGCTGAAGCTTGCGAACGGCGAACTCGAACTGGAACAGCGGGGATGGAAACTGAAAGATATGGGTTTTGATTTTTTGAACAATCTGAAATGATATGGGTTTTGAACTTTTGATTCTTGCAGACAGATAGATAAACTGTAATATATGGGTTTTGAACTTCTGAGTCTTGTAGATTTTGAAGTTTGCAGTTGCAGAGAGAGAGAGAAAGAGGGCAAGTTCAGAGTCGAGAACAAGTATAGAGATGGAGGCGAATGGGGAGGCTGAAAGGATTTGCCCTAAAAAAAATATATATTTATTCTATGCCAAAATTCATCACATAAGAGGCATAAGAGGCGTGTATAGTAAAAGTGAATCGGACAGTTGGAAATGACTATCCGTGTGTTTCACGAACCATATCCAACGGTTGAAGATTTGCCTGATTGTGTTTTCTTAATTGATGTGGACAGTTAGGATTGACTCTGGAGTTTTGAGTCGAATTATGAAATTTGAATGTTCAATTCTTATTGGTCCAAAATGTTACCATTCTTTGTGCTTTTGCAAGTTAAAATCATGATTGAGTAGAATTTATTATTTTCTTAAAATGTCTTTTTACTTAGCAATATATTACAATAGATTGCTGTAACGAGTGGGCGCTTGCCCATTTACCCAAAAGCTCGAACTGTTAGGTAAGGCTGCATACCCACCCATTTATACACAATCTCTTTCCCATCCGATTCCGATGTGGGACAAAATGACCCTTGTTACATTCTCCCCCACCCAAACTCGCAACGCCCTCGTTGCGGTTGGGCCACCCTGCCTACCCGGGTGGACTCACCCGGACGCCTTCCGGGCCGGGCGCTTGGCGTGGCACCGGATCAAGGACTGGGTTTGGCTCTGATACCAACTGTAACGGGTGGGCACTTGCCCATTTATCCAAAAGCTCGAACTGTTAGGTAAGGCTGCATACCCACCCATTTATACCTAATCTCTTTCCCATCCGATTCCGATGTGGGACAAAATGACCCTTGTTACAATTGCCATGTTAAGAATAGGAATTAAATTACAATATTTTGTTTTTTTGGTGACCCATCATCCATAAGCGTATAAATTTTGAGGCCCCATAAATTTTGAAGCCTTAGGTGAGCCTTTGTCGCCTTGGGTCAGAGTCGGCCCTTGGTTTATTTGGCTTAGGCCTTTATTTTAGTACGGTAACTGTTTTGATTTGGGCTTGATTGGGTGAGCTAATTCTATTAATAATTTTTTGTTTTTGAGCTGACTAAAATTAGTATAAATCTACCCTTGTATGCAAATTGCAAACCTTTAAGAACTTCGCCATAATCTTCAAAAGCCTTTCTAAGCTTTTCGTCGGTTATTAACCTTGGGAAGCCTAAATCAATATTCACAAAAAAAAAAATTGGGTGTCAATGATCCTTCAGAAGGAGAAAATTACCATGAAAGATTCAAAAGATCAAATCAGAAGTGGGAAACAATCAAGATAAATGTCCATCATCCTATTATTTACAGTGACCTTGACCCTTCTCACACAAGTTAAGACAAGACAAGTATGCCAGTTAATCAGACATAGTGAAAAAGAGAAATAAATGGGGTTCGGTATCTGTCAAATTGAAGAACTTTAGCTTGTGAAAAATAATTCCAAGGCCGAAGAGGCCAAACTAATGTTTAACCCAATGCATCGAGGTCCTTTATGGCCTAAATTGGAACCCAAACATGGGACCCTCTTCAGGCCGTGAAGAACCTTGATCCTCCTTTCGGTCCAATAAATAGGCTAGTATATCATTGTTCTTTGGCATTTTCTTTTATCTTTTGGCATTTCCATGATTCAATGAGTTTCAAAACAGGGTTCTAACTCATAATATATACCGACTACATACGTCATCCAGAACTTTATCCACTTGGATATTATACCACACAAATTATTGCATTGAACTCTTGTTTTCCCCTTTTTGCCAAATACAAATCAAAAGAAATTCAGAAAATATTCGATGAATGGTGGGAAGAAACTTTAAACAAAACGAAGGAAAGAAACAAACTACTCACGATTAGTACTTTACACCTGCTGCTACAATTTTAAATAAACAGCACAATACCTGCTTAATCAGCTAATAAGTAAGCAAATCCCGTGTTACAAGAGATTTACCTAAAGAGAAGGCCTAACCCACAATTTTCCATCCCTCAAAAATACGAGGCAAGCTTTATAAACGTTACAAATTGGTGTGTTAATTAGGTCAATTGGAGAACAAATTACAAAGATGGGTGGAGCTTAATCCAAGCACAGTCTATCAGAATTCAAAACTATTATTAAATGGTACAAAACAGAAACCTTACAGATAAATATATAAATATAAACATATACAGAGATGTATAATCTAACTCGTCACGAAGAGCTTTCGGGTTGCTTTCGGATTGTGAAGGGCTATGGGGTTCTGAGGATTGAACTGAGTTGCTCTGGGGTTGTGAGGGTAAACTGAGGTGCTCTGGGGTTTTGTGAGGGTTGAACTGAGATACCTGGGGTTGTGAAGGTTGAATTGAGGTCCTCTGGGGTTGTGAGGGTTAAACTTCGGGAGTAAATAACAGAAGAGAAGGTCGAAGATCCATTAAGCAAGCAACGAAAGCCAGAGGCAAAAGCCATCGAATTGGAATCGAGGAGCAGCGATTAGAGGGATTAGCTTAAGAAATGTGAAATGTTCCAGGGATTTAGAAGGGTTTATGTATGGTAAAGGTAATGTATGTATATAGCAGATGGAGAAGGGTTTATGTATGGTAAAGGTAATGTCGCAATACATCATTTCATACATTTTTATACAGGATTATCTGTCGCAAAAATAAAAGTTCCTAGTCATCAATGGAGTTTATAATCAGTTGAATCACCTGACACCAATAGCAACTGCTAAAATCTAAAGTTCTTAACACTGCAATCACCATGGAGAGTGTATATATATATATATATATATATTTTATCTGGCCATGGAGAGTATATATAGATCTAAACTTGAACTCCAGAATGTGTCGAGTCTGCTGACAAATTCAACTTGAATCCATCACCTAACAACACCAATTCACAGATTAAGAAGCAATCACAATCCCATTACCCAGTACTCACTCCACCTGCACAATTGAAACTTCATCCAAATTACACCACGAGAACCCACAAGAGACTCGCAAATTGATTCTGCTGCGCCAACCTCTACGATGTTCTATTCCAAAAAAACGGAGCACCAATTTCACCGAATAAATACACAGTCAAGGCAGATCCCCCGTACGCTAGAAAAATGACATATTGCACAGTGTCACACACTAGAAAATAAAAAATTTAGCTGTGCTTTCCGGATAATTAACAAACAAAAGCCACATGAAAAACATGAGGAAGAAGGGGGGAAAACTATAAACAAAACCTCATGCATGCTTATTAAAAGGTCAGCTTGCACTGCTCCTTTTTTACAAATATTCGTTGCCTCACCTTCCTAGCTTATACACGAACAGGACACTACAATCACATGGCGATATTACAGGAAAATTTGAGAAAAAAAAAAAAAAAAATTTAATAAAACTAATTTTTACCTCTGTGACTAAATCCAATGGGATAATGGATCATGAAATTAATCAGTTGTATTCTGGACCACCTTCTCTAACGTCGAAGCCCCCCTTGAAAAGCGTTAGCTGGAGGTCCCTCGTATACTTCAACAATTGTTCAGTAGAATGTATTCATTATTGTTAGTAATTCAACACTCTCTCGGCCTGCATCAAAGACAGGACAAAGAGGTACGAAGCCAACAAAGAATCAAGTCATAAAAGAAAAGCCTTCTCCAATACGTAACATTGAGAAGTGAAATAATAAGTGTTAAGATCATAATCCAAAATTAGTATCTTCACTGCAAACCAGAATAACTGGAGAACTTAATGGGTGGAGAACTTTATGGAGGATTCTGACAATAGATAACCTCCGGAGAAGGCATAGGCCGCGTATCTGATCGTCAATTGGTGTTGTATGCAAAAGATGGATGAGAGTCGGCGAACCATCTACTCTTGCATTTCCTGGTGACTGGGATGGGGCTTTATTCTTGTCTGCTTTGGTGTTTCTTTGGTCATGCCTCATTCTACATAGAGCATGCTTACAGCTTGGAGAGGATGCACAATGAGGAAGCAAGCACGAGATGCTTGGATGGTTGCTCCTCTTTGCTCGTGATCGGGTATTTGGTAGACAGAGTAATAGGGGATCTTTTGATGGGGGAGGAGACTCCTATTTGGGCACTCAAATTCTCTATTCTTATTTTGTTACTTGTTACGGTAAATGGTTGAAATTGTAAATTTGTAAAGGATGTGATAATTTTTAAGGATAATTTGAGGATATAGCATATTGTTTTGGCTGTGAGCTTTTGTATTTGGAATGCGTTCAAGCGCTATTCTATGATATGTTCCTTCTCACCAAAAAAAGGAAGAAGAAGCATTAGCACTTCAATAATGGATAAGAAATGACGAAATGTAACTTCAACTAATATTTGCACTGCCTTCTGGTCAACTTTTTGAATGAATTAATAATTGTAAACTGCAACCTCAAATTCATGCTCTTAGCATGACCATCACTTGAGTTCTGTTCTCAGTCCAGGTTTGGTCATAAATAATCAAGAATCGAAGTAAAAATGAATTTTAAGAAGAAGGAATAAGTAATATTATGCAAAAACTATAGATTAAACATACCAAATCTCCGAACAAATAGTATCTATGTTTTATGTATTCATTGGACTCTCACTAGGATACCTAGAGATAAGATTTACAAATTCCCCCTCCTTCATATTTTTCTTTTTACTTAATTAATTTCTCTCTTTTAATATGGGGTATCAATCTATAGAATGCTCCCACCCAAACTCAAATTGGAGTTCTTTCCAAATGGTAAAATATATATTGTGCAACATATTATGAGGATAATGCAAATGAACAGAAAAGTACAGGTTAAAACAATGAAAATATACAACTGCATCAGGCTCTAAGTTCGTAAGTTATCAATAGAGCTTTTGAATCACATTACTTCTACTAAGATTATCATTCGAATGAAAAGTAATGAAAAATGAGGGCACATGCATTATAAACACACTTACCTGGGCCCTCGCCATTTATTGCATCACCAGCTTCATTAGTAGAAAAGGCATTACTCTCGACATTGGTTGTTGCATCACTAACTGCATTGAGTCGGTACGAACTTGTAAACCATCGCCGGCTGTCGCAAGTGTTCCTCATCATCATTTGCGGCTAACAATACAAAAATTCAGTCAGCCAAATATGATATGACAGATGAAGATGTAATTTCCATTTATTGAAGATCCAAATTTAAAGGTGAACCAATAGTCTTCTGTCTTCCACAACAATGCGAAAAAAATATATATATTAAATATGCTATATGAAGAATGTAGCAGCAAAGGGCAATCTTATTCAAGTCAAATAATTAAATTGATCAAGTCGGGATCATCATCTTTTTTTTCCCCTTTCTTATAAGTTTGGAATCATGATCATTATCCTCCCATTTATCCCATATACATGGAATATTAGGCCATATCTCTCTTATTTCATTCTTTACTATTGAAATCTGTTTCTCCCATATTCAAATATATATTATATATATGTTTCCTTCACTTTTCTTTTCTTATATATATGTATAATATATTATAGTTTTCCTTTCTTTCCTCTTTGATTTATTCCTTTTGTTTCCTTCTCACCGAATCATATTTTATGGGCATCTTAGTGTGAATATATCATGGTGGTATAGATTGAGCATAGTTCTTGATCTATACCGTTAGATATATGTTTTTCCCTCCTTCAATTTGATCTATTTCTACTAGTTTTTGTTATTTTTTCTTCCCTTCCAAGAGATTGATGCCTAGTGCATTACATTCTGAAATGGCCCTTTTAATTTCTTACTGATTCCTATCTTTCGACACAGAACAAATTGGTAAAAAGACCATAGTGACAAGATAACATACGACGAGGTGGTGAAAGTGAAAACCATCTAAACGGCAGTGCAGCAAAAATTGGTGCAGTAAACAGCACTAATTCTCAGCACAAACAGTCCCAGAAAAACCAAAAACCAATAAGAACACCCAATAACAGCAAGTTTCTGAAACAATGATCCGGATAAATTGATGATCTCAAGGATTAACATCGCAAAAAGTAGCTAAAAATTCACTATCATAGTCTCTGTATTCAATTTTGATGCACACCCTTGCATTCATGTATATTCACGTAGGATATTGGATTAAATCTTAAAGATCTGCTCTTCCTGGGTATCTGGGGAAGGGAATAACATCTCTAATATTGTCGAGCCCAGTAGCAAAAAGAATCATCCTTTCAAAGCCTAAACCAAATCCACTATGCTTTACAGTCCCATAGCGCCGCGGGTCAAGGTACCACTCATAAGGCTCAAGGGGCAGACCCATCTCTAATATCCTGCAACGAAGAAAAGCATCCTCATCAAAATTCCTCGTCAGTTCACTAGCAATTGCAATCATGGGAACTCCAATAATAAATTAGCATAAGAACCAGATACAACAGCTGAATTTCCAAATAAATAAAAAAGCGTATGCTTTTTTTCTTAATATTAAAAGTAAATCAGAGACGGGAACTAGAAGTTTTCATACCTTTCTTTAATGACCTCATAACGTTCTTCCCTTTGGCTTCCTCCAATTAATTCTCCCACCTGAGGAAGACAATTGATGGTCATAATTCATAAACACGATATCGCATTATGTGTTAATACATCATCTGAAGGTTTTTTCCAGTTGTCATGAATTATGATACAGATTCTAGAACAGCTTTGTATCAAATGAAATATATGGGCAGTAAGCAACTAAACATTGGACATGTAAATTGAGTAAAATGACGCTACCTTCGGTACAAGCACATCCATAGCAGCAACAGTCTTCTTGTCTGAATTGACCTTCATATAGAATGCTTTAATACCTTTTGGGTAATTATACACAATAACAGGTGATCTATATTTCACTTCAGTCAAATACCTACATGATTATGCAAACAATGACATCAGTACATGCATGTGAATCAAGAAACACAACCAAGATGCAAAGCCCTATACAAACCTTTCATGTTCAGATGCCAAATCAATCCCCCATTCCACTTTGTTCTCAAACTGCCTCTCTTTTGCTGCCTCCTCAAGAATGGCCACTGCTTCTGTGTAAGAGATGCGGACGAAGTCACTTGAAGCAACCATTCTTAACCGTTCGATGGCACCTTTATCGAAATTCTTGGCCATAAATTCCATATCATTGAGGCAATTGTCAAGTAACCACTGACACAAAAATTTCACATATGCCTCCGCACATTTCATGTCATCCTGCAAAGCAAACAAACTTTGACATCTAATATAATATTATTTGACAAATAATAAAACCTACAAGCATAGCGAAAAAAAATTCTATAGCTGCTTTTAGATGCCCTACGAAAATGGGATTAATCTATCACATTCCACATAAGCTGCTTGAAGGCTCCCCTTGTTCCAATCTCCAACTGATTACTTTGTTGTTTAAGATGTTACCAGCATATGGATTGGTCTTTTCCATGAAGAGAGGGATGTATGATATTTTTAACCCCCTTTGCTATTAAGCCTACTCTAGTGTAAAAACAACAAAATAAAGAATAATAATAAATACCTTTTCTATCAAATATTAATCATGCTTTCATGTTACTACGTGGATAATAGTTTAAACAATGGCATTCCCAGTACTTTAATTTATTCTTAGACAATTTCTATATGGCATTTGACACCTCTTAAGGCCCGTTTTCCAGCAAGCAGTTGTTTAAAATTAGACATTCGCACATAAAAAATTCATTTTTTTGCATACTAATACACATATCCAATGTTCTTTTTTCTTTTTATTATTATTTTTTGTGTGCATGTTAGCAAATATATATAAAAGATGTAACGCAAAATCTAATAATTCAGTCCCAAATCAACTGATGAAGTCATCTAACACTTAGTTTAAAGTTAATTAGTAATAAATTTAGATCTCATATACCTCAATATCAGCAAATGCTATCTCAGGCTCCACCATCCAGAACTCAGCTAGATGCCTCGAAGTGTGAGAGTGTTCAGCTCGAAAAGTTGGCCCGAACGTATAGACACTACTTAGGGCACATGCAAACGTCTCAACATGTAGTTGTCCAGAAACAGTCAAAAATGCTTGACGGGCAAAAAAATCTCGGGAATAATCAATATTCCCATCCTTCTGAGGTATACCAGGTTTAAGCTTAGATCTCTCTTCCACCACTGAAAGATTCTCCTTTGCCTTTGTGAGCTCAGCCACAGAGGCACTAATTTCCTCTTTACTTGCTTTAGCCGATTTTAGTCCCGCGACAGCTTGTCCTTTCTCCTTGACAAAAAGCTTAGCTGCTTCCACATCAGCTTCTGATGGAGGAGGATTCTTTATCAGCTCCTTCTCCAATCTTTCGGCATCATTGATCAAAGTTGTGACTTGAAACATCTCACCAGCACCCTCACAATCACTAGTTGTGACAATAGGAGTGTGTCCGTAGAGAAACCCATGCTTTTGGAAGAATGTGTGGGTCGCATAAGCCAGTGCATGCCGAATTCGAGCAATTGCAGAAATCTAATTCCAAATCTAATTCCAAGCGCAATTCATTAAATGTCACTAATAAAACCAATGCAGGCAACCTTAGCTCGATTCAAAAGATTCTAGAAACAATATATATTATAACTTTTTCTCTCCATATATATTCACATCTATGAAACTGGATCACCTCCGGGTTCCTGAGTCATGTACAGAACAGCTACATCACAGTGCAACACAGCTATATCACAGTGCAACATGTCTATATCATGAAATGCAACAAGGTACATCACGAAATGAAACATATAACATCCTGTTGCAATGGTGTTTCACCATTAAATCGAGAATTTAACACACATTTACATAGTTGTAAGCATTATAGATTAAAAGTCAATGCATTCACGATGTAAAGAAGTTACATTAGGCATAGGGCGAAAATGATCCTAGTTCTATATATAAATATAGAATAAATTAGGAAAACCGATCTTCTCCAAATTCTCACTCTCACAACACTACAATATGACAACCATTTCACTAGGCTAGTCATGAACCGTAAAATTAAATCATAAATTTAAGCATTTCGATTTTGAATTTGCATCCAACAACATCGACAATACACACAAATACATGTGTGTGTGTATATATATATATATAGAAATAGAAGATATATATACCGTATTGGTTCTGGGGCGAAGATGGACGTAACCCCTGAGAAACTCTAGAGTGAGTTTGGTCTTAGGCAAGGGATAATTGGCCGGATCGACAGTTCCCACATCGAGAATCTTCTGAACCCTAAGTTCGATTCTCTGCTTCGTCCCTTCAGGAGGCACTTTCAGCTCTCCCTCCACGTATACGCACGTGCCAGTCGCAACCAACTGAGCGAGAGGAGCGACGGAGGCGTCGACTATGACCTGGAGGTTCGCCGGGCAAGAACCGTCGTTGAGCTCCAGGAAAGTGAACAAGCCTTTGCCTTGCTCTCGGCCCGTCTTCACCCAGCCCCCGACCCTCACCTTCTGGCCCGCCAGCCCAGCCCCGCCGTCGGCCCGGCCCAGTATGGAACGTATCAGGACTCGCTTTGAGAAGTGGGCTTCCCTAACGGCGTCGTCTGGTGTCACGCCGGACGTTTGCTCCACCGGCGCAGACATTTTCGTCTGTGGATCCCCGTCTCCGTAATTCTCTTCCTCTATATATTATATCAGGTAGTATAAACGCTACCCTCCTCTACAGACTATACTTATATATATATATATATATGTATATAGGCTAACACAATAACCCTAAACCCTAATCCTATGTCTATTCCATGTCTGCTAGGAAAAGGAAAGAATAAAAGAAAAGAAAAATAAAAGAATTAATATATGTACACATAATCTGTACGTGATGCATATATATATATACATAAAAACTAACTATAATAACTATTATTACTAATTATTGATAATAATAATTAAATATAATATCCTTATATATATATATACATGTACAATTATATTCGTACACATTAAGCTTTTATCTAAGTAGTCCATGTGACCCTATTAGTTGGTTTATTACTACTATCTGTATTCATGCTTTTTAAAATAAAATAAAATAAACATTTAAATCACCAAATAATAATTAATTACAATTAAACCAACACATCAATTAGGCAAACAATTTAATTAACCAAATAATACAAATAACATGTAAACAATTAGCCAAATAATCAATTAATCAAATAAAATACAATTAAAACAATTAAATAAATATCGAGACTAACCTTTTAAAATTAGGATATGTGAATAAGTTTCATTATTTTAAAGTCCAAAATAAAGGGAGATAACAAGGTATGGAACGAATAGGGTCTTCTTTGGTTTGATGAAAGAGAAAATATTTGAACCGATAATTCGGACTTTCTTATCTATCTTCCATTTAGTTTTCTTTCTTTTATCAAATAGAGTTAAAGGGCCACTTTAGTGGTAAAGAAATGGAAGTTAAAAGAAATGAAATCGATGGATATTATTTTTTGCCGAGTCACATAATTTTTTTCAATGTGTGTCACTCTCACACTTTACGCTCCTACTAGTGCTCTATGTGACTAATAATGCTCGTACTTCCCTCTTTTTGTTTGGTTGCACGAAATAGAAGGGAATGAGGCAACACCTTACTTTTGTAGTTAAGAAAGAAAATAAGAGATAGATTGCTAATATTGAGTTTATCTAATAATTATATAGGGTGATATTATAATTTTAAATTTTCATAACATTTTTGCTTATTTTTCTTCCTACCTTCTTTCCAAATTTGGAGGGATAAAAATTTGTGAAGCATGGAGGATCATTCATCTATCATCTTTTTTCTTTCCTCGTTGTCTCCTCTGTACTAAACGAAGAAGGTCTGTATCTTCCCTCCCCTATTCCCTCCTCCCTTTTTCCTTCCTTTATACCAAATGTACCATTAGATTTTTTTGTGCTTAGTATAAAAATTTGGAAAAAAAAATTTTAAAAAAAGGGAATTGAAAGATTTGGAGAGAGCTTAGTTTGTTTTGTAATACTCACAAAAATGTGAGAAAATGGAAGAAAAATAAATGCTAACATTTTTTATTTATTTATGAAACTTTGTTAATGCTAAATTTATCTTTCATTTTATATATAAAAAAAAAAGTTTAAGAAATTCATTAAAATAATTTCATTTTATTTATTTCAATATAATTACTATCATTTATTTTATTTTTATTTATTAATAACACTATTATCTCATATTATTTGTTTATTTTTATCTCTTAACTAATTGTAAAGAAAATAATGAGCCATTGACAGATTGGAAAGGCTTGGAGCTGCCACACAGGATGCCAATAATCGAACCTTGTCGTCTCCCTTATCACCCTCGACTAACCTGGTGCTGTAGCTGTGGAGCCGGTTGCTGTATCCCAAGTTTGGTGCCTCGGGGGTGGGTTCGAAGGGCCCTGGCTCAGGGAGTTTTAGGTCATCAAAATAATAATAATAATAATAATGAGCCATTGACAGTACTACATTGTAGTCCAATAATTTTTGGGCATACTTACGCATACAAATATCATTCAAACTTGATGGACCTAAGACCGGCCAACTGGATAAAGCCCAAATGAATGCTGCATTCAATCCAGTACAATCATTGGCCCAAACCCAAACTGTACACCGACCCGCCGCCACACCTATAAGTTATCCCTTTGAAACCCTAACCCTAAAACTTTCCGTTATCTGCTCTGATCGCTTAATCGGCTAACGCTAGCAGTCGAAGCACAACAGTTACCTGAGCTCGCACAAGTGAAAAATCCAGCATGGGTAAAGCCCAAAATCTCTCTTTTCCAGTTTTCCACTACGATTCAATATAGGGTTTCTCATATTTGGGTGTAATCTATGTTTATATATGTGTTTTGGTGTTTGATCCAATTGATTGATGAAATGAGATTTCTATTTTGCAGGGAAGGTTCACGGATCACTGGCACGTGCCGGTAAAGTGAGAGGCCAAACACCTAAGGTTGCTAAACAGGACAAGAAGAAGAAGCCCCGTGGTCGTGCTCACAAGCGTATGCAGTACAACCGTCGATTTGTCACTGCCGGTAATTTTTGTTGTTACACTTACTGTGTGTGTATATATATATATATATATATATATCTATAATTGTATCCGTACACAAATTCATATCTGTATGCATATATGTGTAGGTGTATAACGAAGGTGGATTTTGTATATGTTCTGAAACCTACTTATATGAATGCTTGTGCTGATTTAGTTAGATCTGACTTTATATCCGTTTAATTGCACTGTTTGGTTACTGAGAAAACACTGAAGGAAAATGAAATATAAAATTTAAACAGTTTTAAGAATTTATATTTTTGTGGGTTTTCTAAGGATTGAAAATTCATATAAATGGGGCCATTTGAGGTCTAAAATACTGATTATTATTTTTTTTTATTTTTTGTGTCCAAATGTTTTTCCTTTTCCCCCCTTCCTTTCATAGCAACCTTGAGATGCACTTCAATGCTGACACAGGGAAGGAAAAGGAAATATAACATTTACAGATTATATATTGTGTACTGTCTACCAGTTTTTAATTTAATTGTTTCCACTGTCCAAGTTTTGTTCTTTTGTTTTTTTTCATTCCTTTTTTTCTCGTAGCAACCAAACAGATGAATAAGTGAGAATCCTTGAAATGCACTACAAAAACCTATATGCTGATGAGTATGACTATAAATGTTGTTTGCAGTTGTTGGCTTTGGCAAGAAGCGGGGACCAAACTCATCCGAGAAGTAAGCTTGGGATTTTTGAAGGCAAACACTAGTTGGGTCTCCAAGTTAATTCTATCATATCACTTTGTATTTTAAATACTGGAGTTCATTGCTATTGCAAAATCAACTTTTGGCTGAACTGTGTTAAATTTATGCTTGCTTTGTTAAATTGAAAAATTAGAAGCTTTGTTTTTCAATTCATGAGGATCTTTTGTTATGGATATGTCTATTTGGTTAGAAATTTTGATTACTGAAATTTAACTGGATTAATTATGTTTATTTCCCCAAATCCTCTACTTTGAATATCGTGCACGTGAAGTGACTGAATAACCTAATATTAGTTTTGTTAGTGGCGGCTGACTATTTCCATATTCATTTCATAGGTTTATACCTCAAGATGCTGACATTCTTCACAAATGAATAGTAGTAGTAACAGCTAAGAAATGGTCTCTGTAATATGCGGATGCGTAGTACTAAGTGTTCTGTAGTGTTCAAAAGAACCATAGAAGTTTGCTTGTGCTCTTTGCTGATTACCACTTTTTAAATCTTAGACCCGAATTAGAATATTAAATGTTAAATTCTGGATTTGAATCAAATAAAGCAACAATTTTGCCTTCTAGATACTGTAAGGTCTCTGGAGTGATGACATAAATGGTAGTTAGAATCCTCGTATATTAGACGTGTGAATCTTGTGGATTTGGTGAAGAGTGTTGCAAGAATATAGGCAGTTGGTTTATAGAGTTACAAATTTAGGTAGATGGAGTGTATATATCCAGGTGAAGAAATGGTTATCATCACTTACAGTGGCAGGTCATAATATGATGATGATATTCAGTTAACCTTAACCTGTCAATTATGCTAGCAACAGTTGTTAGCTGTGTCCAACCCTCCGTGTACTTCACTGTGTACTGTAAATCTGATTTTGACAAATTAAATCTACCCTTTTTTTGTCGAATTTAATGTGTTGGAACTGAGTTGAAATTTTGGTCAAATTTAGTGCGGTGAAAAACAGAATTACTGTGATGAAAATTAGCAGCAAGAGGATCCATATAACCCACTAAATAAAAATTGTTGCAACTGTTGTTTTACCGTCATTTCTGCATGATCAAGATGAAATCCCTTAAGCAGCTTCTTAATTTCTGAATGTGGAGTTTGGTTCCTTCTATTCAAGCATGATGGAATGTTTTTTCCTTGTTGATCATACTATTTTGTTTGTGATGATTCAATACGTCACTTTGGAGAGTGAAAATTCTAAGTTCGTCTTTCTTAGCGCCCTAAATAGATAATATTTTTAACCTCCTAGAGTATTTTTTTTGTCCTTTTTCTTTTTAATTCCTATAAACCAAAGGCAATGTTTATTATAATAATAAACTTAACTTATTAATTAGAGAAAAATAAAATCTTAGATTCTTGTTGAGCTCAAAGCTAAATCCTTGAATCAGTCCTACCCTTTCTTGTTTTGGCTTTTTTTGTTTGTTTCCGGGGAAAGCGTTTTTACTTGTATTTCTATTAACCTTTTAGCAGATGCACTAAGCTAGCTTGCTGCTGAAAGAAATTAGCAACTATCGATAATATTCATCGTGTACATAAACTACTAAATGTCATTGTTAAGACATCTAGTAGAATTTTATGAGGTTTTAACTGAGGATAGGTATTTCCTCAACTTTCTAAGTAGAAGGTGAAGTTCATAAACAGAAGCTAATGTGTGTGAATTTGCTGATGGGATCTTATTTTATTTAGCTTCAATTAGAAAATTTGAAGAATTGTTTTTTCCTCCTTAAAGTTAGTAACATTATTATTATTATTATTTCATGGACAACTAGCAACATTATCTTATCAACCATGCACTTTTACTTTTAAATTTAAGACTGTAATTTAATGGTACTTTCTCAAGATTATGGTCTCTTCACTTACTTCAAAAAAAAAAAAAAAAAACTTACTTTTATATTGCCAAGTTAATATTATTAATAATAACACGAGACGAAGAAGGGTAGAATCCTCTCTTCATTATGTTGTTTTACCCAAGTATATTGTTTAATTAGGCACACAAATATGTTTGTAACATCTCAAGTACTTAAAAATGGGTTAGAAATTGCATGGGAATATTTCACCATGTTATGGATTGTTTACCTTTGCAACTTGATACGAGTCATAACAAGCTAAGAAAACAATAACGGCACAAGTGACTAGCAAGACACTAGATCAAAAGCAAATCATGCTCTTGCCCACATATTTGATAAAAGAAAATTGACTTAGAGAATGATTTGTACCACATAATGGTTGAAGTCGGAGTATTTAATGGTTTTACATATGAATAGATTTTTGCTCCCAAAATAATAATAATAATAAATAAATTAAGGACAAACAACAACAACATTTTAGAGATTTATTTAGATGGTTGTAGTTTCTAAGTGGCATTTGGTGGCTTTTACATGGTTTTTGCTTGTTTCTACTTCGTCGTTTTTCTTCATTGTAGAAATTAATTTTTTTTATTAATTTTGATGTCATTTGATGCACAAAACTACAATATTCCTTATAGGAGGATTTGAGAAATATCTAACTAAACCGAGATCAATCTTTTTTAGATATAAAAGTCTAGATATTCTAGAAAAGTGTAAATGATAATAATAATAATAATAATAATAGTTAAAAAACTTGTAGATTTTATTATAAGAACAAAAAATCTATAAAAACCAACAGTGACCTAGCGGTACCAGACCCTTACCTCCTAAAGGGAGGTCAACTAAGGAAAAAAAAAAAAAAAATCTACAAAAATAAGGAGTATTAATTTTACTATGCCTAGTGTGAACCACTTGAATCTCTATTAAAAATAGAGTTACATAACTCAAAAGAGTGAAAAAGATGACGAGGGATAATAATGTATTAGTTTGTCTAAATCTTTAATGTATTTAAAGACGGATGAGTGTTTGTTTGTTGTTGACAGTCATATTTGTATTTTTTGGAGTAAAGAAAATTTAGCATAGACAAACGTAAAGAACGTAGGACGATCGATCCGCTCATCCTGCTATCCTTATAGAACTTATCTATTAAAATCTGTATTTATTAGAAAAATCAAAATATTCAACTAAGATATATATAGCTGAATTAGCTTATAACTGATAGCATTTGATGGTTTTACATATGAATAGATTTTTGTTCACTTTTTCTATTTTCTTAAACTACTATATATATTTTCCACGCCCAAAAACAAAACAAAAAATAAAAATTAGGACAAACAACAACAAAATTTTAGAGATTTATTTAGATGGTTGTAGTTTGTAAGTGGCATTTGGTGCTTTTACATGGTTTTTGCTTTTTCTTGGTAGCTCAGAAAAGCCTTGAAACTTCAAGAAAGTTTCTACTTCATCGTTTTTCTTCCTTGTGGAAATTAAATTTTTTTAATTAATTTTGTTGACATTTGATGCACAAAACTACAATATTCCTAATAGGAGGATTTGAGAATTATCTAACTTAGCCTAGATCGATCTTTTTTAGATATAAAAGTCTAGATATTCTAGAAAAGTGTAAATGAAAAAAAATATATATATATATATATATATATAAACTAGTAGATTTTATTATAAGAACAAAAAATCTATAAAAAGTAAGGAGTTGGAACACTGGGAAAAAACCTCCATTTTCTATAAATATTCTACTTCCCTGTTCTCTACTGCTATCCACATTCTCTAAATTATCAGACCATTTCTCAACGGTCCCATCTAAATCTCTATTAGTTTTACTATGACTAGCGTCGACCACTTAAATCTCTATTAATTTAAAATGTCTTTTGTGAAAATTGAAAGATTCATTGCTAATCTTTACCATGTTATGAGCATTCATATCAATATTTTGTAGTCACATAACTCAAAATGGTGGGAAAGATGACGAGCGACAATAATGTATTAGTCTATCTAATTTCTTAAATAAATTTTTCAATAATTTCTTAATTTTATTTATATAAAAAAAGGAAAAGATGACGAGCGGCGGATTAGTCGGACTAATTTCTTAAATAATTTTTTCAATAATTTTTAATTTTATTTAAAAAAAAAAAATTAAATAAAATTGAACCATCTCTTGCATAGTCAATGAGTTAAAAAAACAACATTTATTAAGAGTGTTATCGAAAATTTTAAGTAAATGTTACACGTTGGTAAAAGGAGACGACCTAATAACCAATCATCCTATTCTATGTAATTGAATTTCATTTTACGAAATTGAAATTCATTATTGCTTCAATTTCCAAAAAGAAAAAAAAAATTAAAACTTGTTGATGAAGGGACTTTTGTATGCAAAATCAAAAGAAACAAAGTTTTTTTTTTTTAGTTAAAGCAAAAGAAACAAAGTTGTTTGTACCTCGATGTACAAAGTTCGCATTCAATCTAAAAAAATTAATGTATGTGCCAAGATTAGATGGTTCACAATAAATTTTCATAATATGTATAGTGTAAGTTTCTCTAGAATGTCAATGATTATTCCATCAGTATAGGAGTGGGCAGAGTAGCAATACTCTACACGATATATTACACAACACAAAATAAGTGAATTTGAATTCACGTAATAATAAAATGAAGATAACAATCGTTTTCCTTTACTCTGTACTTCTCCATCGGGCAATGAATTTCCTGGTGTAATGGTAAATTGACCTTTCGGCTTGAAGTCTAACAATGTCCTTTCTTTGTTAATTCTGCTGCTTAATTTGGTATACCGTGCGGAGCAATAAAAAATTCTTGTCTTCTTTCTAGAATTGAAACATACTCTAAATCCTTGAAAGACATGTTCTCCAACTTTCGGAAGAGAAGGTTGAGGGTTCAAACTCCTGACGGTGCACGTGAAGTCTTGCACAAAAAGAATAGGGTTCAACCTATTCTCATGTACATCCCTCTAGATACCTTTTGTTCAAACCAACCTGTCTTCGAGTTTGGGTCTCGACTTTGTTGGCTTGAAACATATCAATTACCAAAACTGCTGCTGTTTTCATTCCAACTTAGATAGTAGGAGAAGGAAACCAAAATTTTGAATGGATATCACAACAGTATTAACATTCCAGAGAAAAGCAATGTGGGATTGGCAAAATGACAGAAAACAAATCCTATTAAAACTATAATTGTTCCTAGAACATAATTTACATGCAGTTTGAGATTGTTCGAGTCTTGGCACTTTAAAGGCTTGTTTGGGGGCTCTAATGCATACTAGCCACCAAAACTCTTTCAATTATAAAAAAATACTTTAACCCTACAGTTCATCACGAACACTTCCTTTTGGTGAAGTAAGCTCGAGTTGATTTTCTAGGAGGTACGTTGCAGCCAGAGATGCTTGGAATGCAGCACCATATGGGAGTAGATCTTCATTTACTATAAAGTAAGGGGTGTGCGACCCTGGAAGCTGTCCTTGACTCTCATTATGCATTCCGACGAAATAGAAGTACCCTGGAATCACCTCTGCAAAAAATGAGAAGTCTTCAGCTCCCATCACTGGTTGCGTTTCTATAATTTTGTCAGCACCCAACATATCAACTGCTACATTTCGGAAGTGCTCATGCAAAACTTTGTCATTTACAGTTACTGGGTAGAAGGGTTCTTTGAAGACAACAGTTGCGTTGCACCTCTGTACAGATGCTTGGAGTGTAATAACCTGCCATTTGCATATGAAAAAATTAACATCCATTATAAGTCATCGTACAATAAAATAACCTGAGGTCGCTGCTATCAGAAAATCATTAACCTCCTCTCAGTCAACCAAAAATAATTATAAATAGATAAATTAAATCTGAAACAAAGAGTAACTATAACTTCTCTGAACTAATTGCTCCAATTTAAAAAGTACTTAGAGCACATCTGAATCAGTTTTTTAATTTTATGTTTTGGTTCTCTTTGACAATTTTACCTCTTTTATTCGTTGTTTAAGTTGCATCAAACTTTCTTTTGAAAATGCCCTGAAGGTTCCAGTGATTGTAACTGAATCAGGAATAACGTTGAATGCACCGCCACCTTGGATTTTCGCAACTGTCACTACCTGCAAGATAATGCTTTCATATTGAGAATACTCTTTAAGTCCAAAAAGAGAAATGTTTTGTCAGCATATGCACAATAAAATTAGAAGACCATTGGCTACTTGATTTTTAAAGTACTAAAGGAGAAGTCAAATAAAGGAAAGATCAATTTTCCATGGAACCTGTCCCTTAATACACGGAAGATGAAGAAAAAGAAGGGGAAAAAATTACAAATAATTCTTTGATGTCACTAAAGTAATTTAATAAATGTTAAAAGCACCTCCTAAATGATTAGGTATATCTTTCATGAATCATAATCCATTAACTGTTTATTAAATTACTTTAGTGACATCAAAGAATTATTTTAGGCATATGCACACGATTTTTAAAGTACTAAAGGAGAAGTCAGATAAAGGAAAGATCAATTTTCCATGGAACCTGTACCTTAATACACGGAAGATGAAGAAAAAGAAGGGGAAAAAATTACAAATAATTCTTTGATGTCACAAATAATTCTTTGATGCCATTAACTGTTTGGAAATGATAAATCATGATGGGAAATGAAACTTTCAAATGGAATATATATGAGCTTTGCACAAAGAAGGATGCCAAACCACGAAAACGGAGGTTAGTGTTTGTTCAAGAATGGGGGATCTGTAACACACTTTCATATAACACGCAAACACACGCGCAGACACACAACACGTGCACACACACACACACACACATATATAGAGATAGAGACCTGTGAATCCAGGGGATCAGCTTCACGTGAAACAAGATGTTGCAGACTAACAATTACATTGGAAGCTGCTATGATTGGGTCTATAGTGTGTTGGGGAATGGCTGCATGACCCCCCTTTCCACTTATTACAGCCTCAAAGAAACCACTCCCAGCCAAAAGAGGGCCAGGTCTAGTTGCGACCGCACCAATAGGAAATCTTTTAGAAACATGCAGCCCAAAGATGGCATCAATATTCTCCAGTACCCCAGCTTCTATCATTTTCTTTGCTCCTCCGCCTCCTTCCTCGGCTGGTTGGAAAACCAGAACTACTGTTCCCTATCGAAAACAAGAAAAAGATTATGAGAATTTCTTGTATGATTACACCAGTACTTTCCGCAATGTAGATTACCAGCTATCTGATGCAATAATATATACATTGATATAAGGTAGCATAACTGCGACGCTGATTTAGAGGAAAAAGAATTTTCTAACAGAACCCCCGTCGTGGAAATGTTACAGAAGGGGCAAAATGAAAAGTTGCACATAATGTACAACAATCCACAGGACTAATTAATAAACTGTGCTAGTACTAACTTGCTTCTTAACATTTACATACCACCTAGGCATGAACGACGTGATCTGGAAAGATTTACAAAGGACAGCAAAGTAATTAAAATAAAAACTTCCACTGTCTCTACCAATTACACCAAATGTGGTACAAGTAATTCCAGGAAGCCTGATACAACTTTTATAACAGCCTTAATACATCTGTTACATCCTTCATTGCAATGTGCATAAAACAAAGCCAGTTACATCTTTTTTGTTAATGGTTACTCTGCTCTATCTGTTTCAGATTGAAGTACTGCCAAAAAAATTCTCATTTTTCTTTTTCCAAGTTCAAGTCGTACATTATTTTTCCTTTTAGTGGGATTATGGACTTTCCCCTGACACTTCATAACACATTCGTGCTTCTTCCAAATTAACAGGAAAAATGGACTCTCTTTCTCTCTCTCTCTCTCTCTCTCACACACACACACACACAGAGACATTCAACAGCTTATTAGTTACAATGAAAACAAACTGAATGCACCTAGTAATATACAATTTCAGATGTACAGTATCTCTTGTAATAACAAATTGAAACTTTGACACAAAAATAGAGAAATTTAAGATCGCTAAATAAGAGTAGGCAAATAAGTACAACAAATGATAGAAGGTTAATCTTGAAAGGATTTTCCATGTTTGAAGAGTGCTTTAGTTGTTAACCTAGCATAGTGTCACAGACGGATTCCGGGCCGTGCCGATCTCTAGGCCTGTGACAATAAGCACAGATTCACTTCCACTTCCAGTTGGACAAACAAAAATATAACACAGAAACTATAGTCCAACAAATTAATGAAATGCGTGACTTCATACCAGGATGTCCATTGGTGACAGATATATGTTTATATCCATATATGGAAAATGAAATACTTATACAGTGAGACTATTAATACAAGGAGGAGGTTTTGGAAGTTTAATTGGAGTCAAGCCAGATAACGAATCGAAATGAGAGATAGGTTTCCACAGTTGTTTTTCGCACTAAATGGACTTGATTTGTTCTTTTAGCACTCAGTTAAAAAAGATGTCATTTAAGGGCTTCCTAGATGACTTCATTTATACTTTATTGTTATTATTTTTTGATTGCAGCTGGACATAATTCTATACAACCGACTAGCATGTACATTTGTCATGTGAATGCAATGAAATCAATTCATTTTCAGAGGATGTCCAAAGTCTCCTAGTAAAGTAATTATAGATTGAATTATAAAAAACACGTGTTGACGAACCAATCATGGGTTGAAATATAAAAGATTTTTTTTTACATTATAAAGAGGTCATGTAAATTCATAATCAAGTTATCACAAAAATAGAAAGAAATAAAGAAACCTGTAAATCACTACGATGTTCCTGAAGCATCTTTGCTGCACCAAGAAGCATCGCAACATGTGCATCATGCCCACAAGCATGCATTTTTCCAAGAACTTTACTCTTGTGCTTCCATTCAACATCCTCCTGTACACCAAAACCCTTGTTAAATTCCAACAATCCCTCTAAATAGGTTCCAACTTCTAACACTTTGAACTATAGTATTGAAATTAGCAATTATTCATCTAATAATCATACCACAGCAAAGAACAATAAACTTCATCGGAACCCAAAAGTCACCACAAATGTAACATTTAAGAATTTCATAGAAATTATATTTTATATAATCCTATATGTATGTAGTGAATTGTGTATGTACAATGATATATATTGCAGCCATAACTAAACAAACCTGCATAGCTAGAGCATCCATATCTGCTCTAATGGCGACAAAAGGAGGTCCACCGGTCCCGATGAAGCCAACGACCCCAGTAACAGCTACCGGATATTTATAGGGTATACCCATTTTATCAAGCTCAGCTCTGATAAGCTTACTGGTCTCAAATTCCTCAAAACCCAGTTCTGGGTTTTCATGTATTGTTCTCCTAATACCCACCATCCAATCCACAATCTCTGGTTTTTTGGCCAAATTGAGGAAATTCAAAGGGATTTCAGATAACCCTTCTTTGCTCAGAAAAGAATTTGAGAGAGTGGGTATAGATAAATACACACAAATAGTGGAAACGAGAGAAATCCATTTGAAGAACCCCATGAAATTCTGCAACTAAGCTTTGAAATCTGGATGGGATGTGAGAAATATATTTTGAAGTGAGAGAGTAGCCAAAGCCAAAGAGTGATGATGTTTGACCATTTTTCTTTTGATGGGGCTGCCAATGAATTAATTAGGGATGGTATTTGACTATTTTTCTTTTGTTGGGGGCTGCGAATGAATTAATTAATTCAAAATGAAATGACATCTGACTTACGAGGAAGATAGCGACGTTCCCACTTTGATATACTTTTGCATAACAACATTCCATTTTAAACACCATTTGAAAAAGAAAAAAGAAAAAAAAAAATCCATTTTAACATACTTTTGTTAGTATGAAGTTTCTTTTTTGAGGGAAATATATATTTAATAAAATATAAAATAAAAATATCATTGAACTAGAAGTTATATCAATCAATCTTCTTGTATTAATCATGGGTTAAATGGCTTTTGAGTAAATATTCAATGCAACATTTCATTTTGCTGTGATGATGCTCCAAACTGAATAGATCCTGTAATACATTTTGGTATTTTAATTTTTTTTAGCCAAATATATTATGGTATTAATTTATCACATCATTTTCTATTTATTGAGAGATTTGGAGGGATAATGAGGGAAATAAAAAGAAACAATTGTGTAAATTGTGTTTAGGTTGTTTAAAATGAGTGAAAATAAAAGCCACTAAGAGATTAATAAGACATTCCTCCACTTTCATTCGTAAAAAGGAAGTTAAGGGATAACAAAAATGAAAAGAAAATGAAAGAAATAATAATGTTAAGTGATAATTTTATAATCTTGAAAGTGCCCTCAATAAGTAAAAGGAATAAATTATTATTCCACTTATGCTTCATTTACTTAGAAGAATATAATTGTTATCATTTCATTTCATTTCTTTTTCTTTATCCTGTCCAAACAAGAATACCTCTTTTATTTTGTCTCATATATATCTAAATATCAATACAGATTATTGACCAAACTGAGCTCAAAAAATGATGAAAGATAAAATCAGAAGTGTGACTCTGTGAGTGAGTGGGCATGCACTGCCAAAGTAAGTTTTAATTGGTTTGTCGCACCATATCAAAAAATAAGGTGGTTGGATTAAATATTTAATTCATAATTGTTATAAGTGATGTACAGATATACTTTCGATACGTGCTTCTTAAAAGTATTCATAATTTTTTAACTTACGATACAAATAACTTACGTATTTCTATCACATAATTTATTTCTATCAAATATTTCTCATCAGTTCAAGTATTTTTATTAAAAGTGATGTACATTTGATACGTGTTTCTTAAAAGTATTCATAATTTTAAAATATATATATTTTATTTCTAACACATATACTTTTCTCATACTTGAACTGTATATCTAATAATTCTCAAATAATTCGTAACACATTTTAAACAAATTTTAAATATTAAAATGTAACTTTTTCACTAATAATAACAATGTTATGAAACAAACTCTTATGTTATATTAATTATTGCATTTACATTCATAGAGATTTTTATCCATCAAAAAATTTCAATGCTATTTTTCAAATAAGAGTAAAAACAGACTTAAAAGAATGTTGGAAACAGGAAAGGAGCCATGAGAAATTAAAATTATTATTATTTTTCGGAAGGTAAGATGTATTGTATTAATAAGTAAATGTACATGGGCCATGCCCAGAATAGCAAAATACAAAAACAAAGGGCCAGATGCAAACCAAGCCCAACAAACAGAGGAATGACATAACCCAACCCATCCAACAGTTGAACCAAGGCAAACATAGTCTAGAAAGACCAAGACTATTATTGATTAGGTCAACCCACACATCCGGTGTAAACAGAGGAGAGAGGCAACGCCTCCAGCGATCAACAATCAGTACGGTTCAGGAGGAGGTCGAATGAAGGATTGAGGTAAGTTCCAATCAAGAATTAGTCTCCTTGCCACATTTGAGTCCTTTACTTGCATCAAGAGTAGCCTTTGTTTCACCATATCCATGGTGTTCTGTAGTATATTCGATTGTGAGCTTCGCTGGCCTTTGAAGGCTCGATCATTCCGTTCAGTCCAAATCCGGTTGATAGTGGTGGAAAGAACAAGCTTATTGGTTGAATTATGCAAACTCCTCCTTCTCCGGTGGGTTGAAGCCCATACAATGAAATCGTTCCAAGAAAGATGGGAGACACGGAGTCGGCATTGGGTCTGTAGGAAATTCCAAATGGTCTGATGTATGAACAAGTGAAGAACAAATGGTCATGAGATTCATCCATTGATTGACAGAGGTGGCACAACCTAGAGCCAGAGAACGTCTGCATATTTGGTGGTCCTAGTCCACCAGGTCAGATAGCTTATTTTGGTGGACTCGACTAACAATGAGCACTTCATGTAAGTTGCCATGTCAGCATAGACATGTGAAAGAATTTAATGGAGATAAGAGCATTGTCAATGGGCCCTTTGGAATTAGGCTATCCGAATTTGCAAAATGAGAATTTTGTAATAGTTATGTTAGTAATTTTTATAATCATATCAGCATTTTAGAGTCTTCAAATTTTAGATATCGCATCACGCGTACTCTAATGGTATATTTTCGCTCTTCAAAAATATTAATTTTTTAAATTTTTAATAAATTTTTTTTTTTTAACTTTTTCCTAATGACTATATTTACAAAAATTTTAAACAATATAATATTTATTATGAATTATAAAAATCAAAACAATACAATACGGTATGATATCAGTTGGAATATTTTAAAAAATAAGGTTTTTTATTTTAAAAAAAGCACTTTTCTCCAATTTTTTAAAACTTTTTTGCCCCAAAAAAGCCAACAGTGCCTTAATGGCTCTTTGGCTCAATTATTTTGAGGAAAAAAAAGATAGACCAAAATAGCCCAAAAACTTGATTTTTAGATATTATTTCAGCTATCAAAATCTGGGCTAAACAATAACTTGGGCCAAATTAAAAAAAGAAAAGAAAATATAGACGGGCCTAACAGGGTCACCGAAAATGGCGACCCATTCCCCAATTGGCCCAAATTTAACGATCCACAATGGAGTAGTTGGGTCGCCAAAATGAGCCCAAATCGCTAGGGTCAGCATGCGTTGAAGCTGCTCTAAATAGACGTTCTTTCTTTTTTGATTTTGTTTTTTCGCTTGGAAAAAATTATATTTCTAAGTTCAAAATTTGAATTCAAAATTAATCAATTCCTATTTGGAGACAAAATCAACCAATGCCTCAAATCTCTGCTTAACATTTCATCATTTTTTCTCCCCCAGCACTTATCATCTATATTTCTCCCCCGGCACTTATCATCTATATTGACCCTTCATAATCTTTTCCTCTTCTCTTTTAAGTTTTAACCCATCATAATAACCACCTTCTCCGATCACACCAAGGACTTATCATCTATGTTGACCATTAATATACTGTATTTGTATCTGGGCTATGAAGAAGAAGTAAAAGAATGAAACACGATTTCAGAACCCACAAAAACAAATACAGGAAGTAAACTACAACTGTATACGCATAAAAAGATTCCATCCAAATACAACATTATATAAGAACTAGAACTCTTATACAAACAGAATACAAAATCAAGAATATTACCAATCCCAATCGAAGGTTTTAGAGGCAAAATTGCTCTAGGGTTTCGCCTAGCTAACAAAAGTAAAGTAGTGAACATTTCTAAATTAAGGAAAGAATTAACCAACTAAAACATATGTAACCATATATTTATACCAACAAAATACCAAATAGAGCATTTTTCTGGCATTTTATGATTTACCCAATTTCTGATGTATTGGTATCCTAAGCACTTATCACAATTCTAATGTTAAAATATGATAGGATCAAGTTTCTTTCCAAACCCACTGTAGTCTCTCTTTCCAGTCCTATAACAATGCTTAGACAAATTTTAAAGGATTAAAACATAATTTCAGAAACAGGGACTCTGAATAAAAATAAGATTTCAAAAACAATAAATCCAGATACACGTGATTTTCAGAGACCCCAGACAATCACAAGCTACAGCTATGAATAAATTTTAAAGGAATAAAATATGATTTCAGAAATAGAGACTCTAAATCAAAACGTGATTTCAGAAACCAGAAACCCAGTTATACATGATTTCAGAAACCCAGTTACACATTATTTCTGAAACCAGAAACCCATATACTCAAGGTATCTGGGCTATGAAAAAAAGTAAATGAATGAAATATGATTTCAGAACTCACAAAAATAAATATAGGAGGTAAACTACAACATCATACACATAAAAAGACTCCATTATATAGTACTATATAAGAACTAGAACTCTTATACAAACAGAATACAAAATTAAGAATATTACCAATCCCAATCGAAAGTTTGCAAAATTACTCTAGGGCTTCGCCTAGCTAACAAAAGTAAAGTAATGAATATTTCTAAAATAAAGAAAGAATTAACCAACTAAAACATATGTAACCATATATTTATTGTGACATGTCTGATTTTTTCATTTTTCCAATTTCGGGGTTTTTTATTTTATTTTTCGGATTATTTTTTTTCTTCGCCTCGTTTTGCTTGCCGGACATCGTGGGATGTGCCGAATGAGTCTTGAAAGTTGATTGGAGCATTTTTTTCGAGTTCGGGACTCTTACAAATGCATCGCTGGTCATTTCGGCATTTTTTTTGGTTTTTAGGACAGGAGGTCCTCGGCGTGACCTGCAGCTCGTGACCTGCAACCGGATTTGTAGTGTACGCGAATTATTTTTTGGGGCTGTTGCATGTCTTACATTATTAATTGATGTATATTTATATGGTTAAATGAGTGGTTGTAATGTGTTTAGTATATCGGGCAGGTTCTAACCATATTAAAAGTCACAAGTGAAGCCATTGGGATGCCAATTTGTTTAGGCACTTAAACTGTGAGGAAAATGCATTTTTGGGTCATTTCGGTTGACCGGTAAGTCATTTCGGCCAACCGATATCATTTCGGACCAAAACTAATAGCTTGGGAAACTCTAGAGCCACAACCAGACGACCAATTTGTCATTTCAGTCGACCGCTATAACCATTGTTGTCTGCCAAAATAAAATTGAGACAACTTTGAACCCCCGACTTCAAACGATAAAATCTCACTCATTTTAACTCCAAATTGGGTTAAATTTGAGTTCAT